AGCACCTCGGGACCGATCAGCGTCCTTGCGGGAGGCGAGCAACAGTTACACGATCCTCAAACACCAAGAGCGAGGTCACCCCGACAGTCTTCCGGGGGTACGGGAACTGAGATGAACCCTCCGCTGTTATACGGCCTGGCGCATAGCCCCGGGAGAACGAGCAACAAATGGCACTCCGCACCGGCCACAACTGAGCCCTTAGCAACACCGAATAAGTTGTCCACTAAAATTTGGAAATATACACCGCTACAACTCATCGTGCGCCCCGGGGGGCGGCGAAGGTACTTCGATCGGCGGGACGAGCATCACACTAGCCATATCGGTAAGTCTGTAGCCCCGTGGCCATTTACACGCTTTGCTCATCGCCACACTGAATAAAACCCGAATGAATCCTGCTCTAGAACCTGGGGAGGCACATTGCCCCGTTCCTCTTGCCTTCCCGATACATCTTCGCACACCTTTTTCTCACTAGCTTCTAATCTACTGTCTTTCCTACTAATCCGACTTTGAATTCGTGATCGGCCTGCTTCAAAACTTCTATCTCAGCCCCTCCCTCGCTCGATTCCGTCAAGGAGCGAGCAGGGTGCTTACTCTGCCTTCCGCCATGTCCGCCTGTTCCAATACCACCGCGCAGGGCCTTTCTCCTCCACTACCAAAACTAACACTCTATAGTTAAAACTGACTCTCCCGCTCAGCTCGCAGCACCCCGAAACTCTAGCTCAACCCTTCACTCTGCCCGATTTCGCCTAGGATCGAGCAATCTAGTGGTTTTCCTGCTCCCACCATAACCATCTCCTCCCGCCATGCACGGTCACACTTCCTTGGCATGCACCCGGCGTGTTTCCGCGCCTTGATTCGTTCCTGCCCCCGTCGCTTGTTTCCCCCAGTGTCTACCCTGCCGACCTCCACAATCTCGCTCCGCGGTTGCCCCCCGTGCTGACTCTCACCCCGCTAGCGTCCGTCACCCCGCCAAGGCACGCAACTAACCCGACAGCGCTCCCGCCCGGCTCACCGACCGACTAACCGAACGGGTCGACACTGCCCCGCATTTGTAGTGTCGGACCATAGGCGGTCCCCCTCTCCCACCGCGTCTGGACACCGCTGACTGTGCGCGGTAGACGAGTCTCCTAGCCACTTGCCTCTCCCTTCCGCCTGCACCTGGCATTCATTCGCGTCCGGGTTCGCCCCCGGATGCCTATATTGCCTCCGCGCAGTGGCTGCGCGGCCCTCCTCTAGTCAGTTCCAGTATTAGCGGATGCCCCGAAGGACTCCCCCGCAGCAACACCCGACGGCCCTTCGATGCCTGAGCAACCTCGATACCACCCCGCCTTGGCAGCAAAGTGCGCGGACCTGGCCCGCCTTCCTGGCCGGGTTCAGGGAGGTGCGCCCTCCCTTTCCTCGTTCTATGCGTGTYATCCTTGCGCAGGGGCCRCGCTAATCTTCTCTGTATCGTTCCAATTTTAACGGATGTCCCGAAGGACCTACCCATAGTGGCCCCCATAGTACCACCAACACCACCCAACCTCCTCGCCCTTTTGCACGCCCCCGGCCAGATTCACGGGCGGGTTCTCCTCCGGTTTTTCCATGTGCCATCCGTGCGGGGCGGTCATGCAAATCTTCTCCGTATCGTGCCAAAAAAATCTGCAGATATCCTGAAAGGCTTCCGATCGTGGTCGCCCCTCCCTTGACTACTCGAGACCAATGCGGTCGCAATGTCGCTCTACCTTAATGCCCGAACTTGGCCTGCATTTCAGAAGTTTTGCGCGCCAGCCTTGCACAGAGGCCGTACGAATCTTCCCTGCATCGCTCTAATTTTAACGGATAACCCAAAGAGCCTTGCGCGTGGCGAGCCCCCCTTTTTTATCCGCACCCGGCCTACCTTCTCGTCCAGATCCATCCCCAGACTCACACATGCCTGCCTAGCGCAGCACCCTCACCCTCCTTTCGCACTCCGAGTAAGCCCCAGCGCCGGCTTTCTTTAACAGTGCCCCGCGCGGACCCAGCCCCCTTTTGAGGCCAGGTTCGGGCGGTTGACATATGATCCGACTGCAACAAGTTGGCAAGCCGAACCTCCCCTCCCGTAGGGGCCTTGCGAATCCCCCTCGGGCCGCGGATCCCCCTCCTCCCAACAGTAGGCACCTCGCAGCGCCCCCAGCGCTTGATCGGGCCCCGGCGGAACCAGCTGGGCTCGATCTCAGGCCTGTATTTCAACAGTTCATGGGCGTACCTGCCGCAGTTCCGCGCTCACATACGGGCAAAGAAAAACAAATAATAATATCACAAATTCGAGGTAAGTACATTATGCATGACTAGATATATAAAACCCCGCAAGGCGCGCGGTCAATCAGGCAGAGACCGCGGCCCCCAAAATTGTAAAAGGCGAAGGGGGATGGTCCCATAGGCCCTTCAACCCCTCACGCCTTTCCGCCGCGCTCCCCCGCTCCCTTACCGCCTRCTGTTGGCCTCGAYCCCTGYGTCTCTTACGTACCAGTCCGATGYCRTAACCAATAGGGCTAAGCCCAAGCCTGGTACCMGCAGGCKCGACCTCCCATATAAGGTGGTGCCGCGAGGCGCTCCGGGCCAAGATACCACCCTGGCCGCTTCTTCAATCCCATTCGTTCCCACGGCCCCCTAAGTGTCCGCGTCGGTCTACCACCCCGCGCCGTGRCCGTCCCATGCRCCTATCTGCGYGCCAACCCTACCCTCKGTCACGCACACCTATYAGGAGCAACCTTTCATTCCCWAACYAAGGYCGTAASACGGYCCAGGTCGGTCGGCTACCCCGRCCGCCCATTYAATTAGAAAWATCACAYGCGCRCCTTAAATATTGCGCGCCCACCTACYYYCTACCAGGACAAGGCAGACCTTGGCCYGCGCGCGSACGACCTTCACATTTTCCCGCACGGGCACTCAAAATCCAGGCTAACCGAGCCTTTCTGTCACTTGCAAAAACCAGGGCGGATACCCTTGTAAGGGTATTCGCGCCGACAGCTTACCGGACCATATTAAGCGACGTCCCCGTCGCGTCGCCAAATCAAAAAGCTATAGATTTCCATCACATTCCAAATGCCGACGAGATTAGAACCAATGCGATTAGCCGACAGACTTYAGGGTTGAGGMCTCCATCAAACCGTGCCAAGAAAACGATATGCTGCCAGGGTTTCAACTTGGGTCTCCATTGTCCCGACACCAGGACGCCGGTGTATTACGCATCAATACTACAGCATAAGTTCCAAAGCCCCCCAAACCATCCTCTTCCCCCTCGTCCTAGACAACCGCCAACCTCTCGTTGGGTGTCCTAGTTAGCCTCTTCCTCATAAGCAGAGCCATAACTAGGGACGCGGGCTTCGAATGGGGCCTATGAAGGCATTCTCTGCCTCTTCAACAAATTCCTCACAGTCAAACAAAGTACACACGTATAAGCTTGTAGCCTCTCTCGGGCTTTTCTGCAGTCTAGTACAAAAATGCCAGGTCCCCATCTGGGYCCACCATAGCCTGGCTGATCGGGCCAGGTCTACTGCCCACCGGGTTGTTACCTTAGCGGMAGTATCCTCCCATTGGTTATACAATTGCAGGTATGTCCGTGATAATCAATCAATCAGGGCTTCCAAAARACACGACTCTTATCCCGCAAGGTAATTTCCCTRGGGCGGGCAACTCCCCTCAAACTCTTGCCTTGCGGGCCCGCAGCCAGGTTGTGCCGGCTAGCAGCCATCCACTAGGGGTTGCGCCCAGGTGGCACTAATCTTTACCGTTAGCTTGGTATTCCCTCAAATATGTCTCWKAATTAGCACAGGTGGCCCGGCGGGGTATCACAAACAATTCACGRCCGCTTCGGGACTACGCAGGGGTCTGAACGCATTTACCGGCTCTCCTATAATAGGCACGGCATCCTTCGCTCAATCACAAACAGTCTCCCCGCCGGATCCACAAGGTCRCGGCTCTTGACTTGATCAGAGTCAGCAGTCGCCCACCCTGAGGCATCTCTYGCCCTTTTCAAACATTTCAAGCAAACATGGTCCCCTCTCGTCAGACTTTATCAGCACAGACAATACTTTCCACACCATTCAATTTTKACCCACCCTTACTTGGTGAAGGGTGCCTTTCCCAAAAGATTTCCTAGCCATCTCCTTCTTGTATGGGATGACTCCTCACACGACCTCTTCCAAARCCATGAAGGGGTCTCCACGCAATGTAATTCCCACCTTCCAGAACCATGAAGGGGGTCTTAATCATCAAACACCTCAAACTGAGGGGCCACCTTCTGGGTCCCTATACGATTTAGGCAGCGATGTTTAGTATGACCAAACATGCAAATTCCTAAATTCATCAATCCCGTAGGATTCTCACAGTTTTCACAAACAGGCTGCACTTCCCCTCCTTATACTCTTCCCTCTCGTCCGCTTGCAGCAGACCGCACGAGTATACCGGAGGGTAGACAACTTTACAATTTACACAATCATGCCCATGAGATGTATCCCRTACATTTCTCACACAAAACCAAACATTCATCGAGATAAATCCACACATGTGAGAGCGATAGTGATCGTCACAAGACAAGTCCCATAGGATCTCAACTCATAGTATACTCAGGGAGTATAATGCCTCCCCCAACAATCGAATACAAGCACTCAACTCAATACCCCGCCTGTCTGAATAGGACTCATAACCCCACTGTACACTCATCAAATCCATTCGGGAACATAGCATCCGCCTAATCATTCACAGAATACCTAGCCCCTGTCCTCCCCTGCTGGGAAAACTCACACCCCGAGTGCTATAAGCTCCCAAATCCCATTCAGAGCAGCAATAGCTTCTGAATCACAAAACCAAATATAACTAAATGGTCTCATATATCATACAGTTGAGTTCTACCCCTGGGTCGTAGCCCACGAAGAAGCTCAAAAGGAACAAGCGAATAAAAGTCACACGCATAGGCACGATTGGATAGAAACTCCTCCTCCCACTCCAACGCACACACACATCTAGGGCCTGCTCAACTGACTCAAGGTATGTACACCCCTAACCCCGCCCTGTGTGTGTCAAGGATCTCTAGTCCTATCAATATATAGACAGACCGATCCCTACTTACATAATTCCTCCTAGTTTTTCCTATATAATTGAGCCCTGCCCCCATCTGGAGCTCGCTCTATTATCCTGCCCTGCCTGTCATAGAACTTGTCGTTGAACTCCGCAACTCGCCCCTCGGCCTTATCTTCGAGGAGTTCTGGGCAGTCCATGGCTCTATGCCCTTCCTCCTTGCACCAGAAACAGGAGGCATCGTGCCATCTGACAGTCTTCTTCTTTCTCCCCTGCGAACTCGATGCCGAAGGCGTCCCCATGGTCTCAGTAGTCACCTCATGACACGAGGGCAACCCCACATGGCCCTGAGGTCCATGCTCCATAGCCTCAGCACCCCCACCCTCTCGTATGGTCGTGCTCACTGGCCTGCAGCCCGGCGTGCCCAACTCTCGGGGTCCCTCCTCATGAGCCCTCTCTGTCACCACCRCCTCATCCCTGCATACCCCTGACGGYTGAGGGCCCCCCATAGCGGTGGGCTCACTCATGACCTCCTGCTRCTRTTGTCRCCKCGAGTCAGGCTCCCCGGAGTCCGTYTCCGTGGCCCAGGAACSCAGCTCCGTCCTCAACTTTCCCAATCTCGGAGCATCCTCTTGAGTGTCGAGCCTCTGAGGCCTCTCCTGTGGAGTRCCTATCCCCATGGCTGYCGCCAGCTCATGCAAGCGCGAACCTCWCCTCTCCGTGGACATAGCCATAAGCGACTCCTGCGCACCACCTTCCWCCTCAACTGCGTCCAAGGGCACCTCCTCCATCGGCTCACTCTGTCGGGGGACCTCCACTGCTGCTCCTTGGCTCGGCGAGGCGCGCATCCCCCGGCCCTGGCCATCGGCACCGGCTCGCCCCACCTGGCTAGCCTCCCAGGCTGCCGAGAGCCTATCCACAGCGGCCGCCATCTCCCCAAATCTCCTCTCCCACTCAACCTCTCTAGCCTGGCTTCTCACCCTCTCCTCGGCAAGCTGAGTAGTCAGGTGCTCCACCTCCAACTCTTTGACCCTAAGCTCATTGATGAGTAGATTATACCACTGGAAAGATGTGACTGTCGTCTCACATACCCTCCGATCCATGCGCTCAATCGCCTGCCTGGTCGCGGAGAATCCCAAGTCCCCCATCTCTCTCAACTCACTAGTCTCCTCGTCCGCCCGTCCTGCCTCTCATGACCTCTGGCGGGCTGCATCCCTACGGCTCTCATACCTAGCCCACAACTCGTCGATCCTCTGCTCACTCGTCTTGAGCTCAACCGGCGGTGTCGGCTTTATCCATGCCGCCTCCATCTCAGCCTGTCTTGCGTATATCTCGTCCAGACGGACCCGCACTCGGGCGGACTTCTCTTCGCGGGTCTCTCTTGGAGTTCCTTCCACTCGCGGCCCCTGGCCTCCTGGAGTCGACGCCTCCGCCTCCATCCCTTCGCTCGCGCGCGGCACTACTGGCGGTAACTCTGCTGAAACGGGCTCCTCGATATCCGGGCTCTTGGTCACCTGCGTGGCCAAGGGCAAGTCAAGGGGCGCCTCCATTCTCGCTCTCTCACACATACCTTGGTCCTCCGCCTCTGCCTCCTGCTCAGGTATAGTGGTGGCCTCAGGGGGAAACTCCGGGATCTCCTCATTGCCTGGCTCAGGAATCCCCTCTGGCCATGAACGTTGTGCTGGCTCTGGAGCTGGGAAGCATGGAGGGGTATCGTCCCCAACCGTGATCACCTCTCTACCCTGAGGTCGCACCGGATCCGGCCGCTCAGCTGCCATCTGAGGATCCTGCGGCTCCTCTCGGTCTCGCATGTTTGTCTCCATCTCGGGGTCGAGGGGCTCCTCCAATGGCACGTAGCATGCCGACTCAACTGAACCCTCTCCAAGCCGTGAGGCCTCCCATTGGGATACATCGAGATGAGTCGCTAAGCTTCGGAATGGCGGCTCTCTTGGTATGTCCAGCTCCTGCGTTGATGGCAGTGGCGAGGGCGGCCTCAACTCCTCGCTCGTAATCCGCCGAAACTCAACCGCTCGGAGGCCACAAGCAGGGAACGCCTCCTCTGCCAATGCGGGCCCTGCAGGGTTATCCTCCCGCTGGGCTGGGGCTCCCCTCCTCTCTCTGGCCAGCCCCGCCTCTCTCGGTGCCGGTTCCCTTGGCCTCTTGCTTCGTCGCCGCCTCTCAACTCTGGGCTCGTGCCTCTCGTGTTGTGGCCGTCCGAACGCCCTCCTGAGTTGGGCCTGACAGTCCTCCCAGTCTCGGGCCCTTTCCCGAATCTGCGTGGCCACCTCCCTCTTTGCCTGCCTCGTCCAGATAAGTATAGCCTGCACCCATTCCTCCCGCGCAACCCCCAGATTCAACATGTAGTGCTCATATGCGGGGATGAACTCATCTGCATTCCCCTCCTCCAATCGAATGGGCATGCGATCACGCCCCCTAGGGAAAGCTCTCAACTTCTGCATCCCGGCTTCCACGTCCGGCCAAGTCAGGGCCTCCTCACATATCTGAGCGACAGGCTCCTCGAACCGCCCTATACCCCTCAAGTGGTGAATCCTCTCCGCCACTGACCACCCTCTTTGTGCCGCATGATCCCGATATACGTCCAAGAAAAGCTCAATGTTGTCATCATCAAACTYAGGCGTAGGCTCCCTCCTAGGCGGCTCATGCTGCTCGCCTCTTCCYYCCATCCTCTRGGGCCCCTGGCGTGGCCGTGTGTCCCTTCCGCCCCTCTGCATGACTGTCTTCGAAAAGTCAGACCTGCACAACAGGCGAGAGACAACAAGCAGGCACACAGCAGGGTCAGCAACCGAGCCATCGGCCTAGGGAAATCCCACATACACTCCACACCCATCCATCCCAATCATCCACCTATCTAACCATCCGACCTGGGTAATACCTAGGCAAGACTCTATCCCTAACGAGGTCTCATGGCCCTTACCTATTCCCTCGCCACAAACTTCTTCAGCCTTGTCCCTGATACCCAGTCCTGCCATCCTRCCCCATCCAGCTCCTCAATTTGGTWGGCCCCAAATTCACCACACCGCACGATCCTATAGGGTCCCAGCCACCGTTTGTCGAGTTTCCTGGACCACTGCTTTTCCAGCGAGGAGTCATACAACAGCACCACATCCCCAACCTTCAGTGGATCCTTCCTTATTCGGGYCATCCGGTCCCACCTCATCTTGTCTTCCATGCGACTTCTCTCCACCTGACSWGCRGCCTCTCGTAACCTTTCCTCAGCGACACCCACCTGTCGCGCCCGTATATCGAGCAACTCTTCAAAGGACAGGTTCACTTCCAGGTCCTGGCGCCTCCACGTTTTCATAAAATTTTCTATGGGAAAGGTGGCATGTCTTCCATACCATAGTGTGGCTGGCACTTACTTGGTACTCCTTTTCACTGTAACATTTTCCACGAAGAATGCTGCTCTCAGGAATTCCGGCCACTGGTTAGGCTTTCCCTCAGTCCATTTGGCCAGGAGATTCGTGATGGTACTATGCCCCCTTTCCACAGGCGCGTTTGCCAGGGGGTGCGCGGCAGTAGTAGAGTTTGCCACCACGTCGTATCCTGCAAGCAAGGTCCGCACCTCGTTACACGTAAACTCCGACCCCCGGTCCATCACAAACTCTCTTACAAATGGATAGCGCAAGTAGTACTCTTCGATGCACCTTGCTAAAACTGGGCCGGTTTTCGTACGAATAGCCCGAYCGTCCACGAACCCGGTAAGGTTGTCYCATGCRTCAAAGATATAGTTRCTTCCGTCCTCCCCAAGTGGCATGAACAATAGGTCCARGTGTACGACTGCACCCACTTCCCTTTCCAGTCTGGGGTGYAGWGGTTCCCCCGGCCTTTGCGCTGACCTCTGTTGGCAGGGTACACAAGACTGRCAGTACTTGATGACCATAGTCAGCATTCCATCCCAATGGTATAGCTCACTTATCTTTGCGCACGTGGCACTAACCCCTATGTGCCCCCCTGCTATACCATCGTGTAAGGCTGCTATGACATYGATCTKCCGGTTCCTCCCACATACGATCCTCTTGGGGTTCCCAACCTGTCGCTTTATAAACAAATGGTCATCTCTCACTACGTAGAGATGCCTCATCTTCTGGGCCTTAGCACTTGCGTCCCTATCCCTCATTTCGCACAACAGCAGTAACCCCAACTCCTGATAAATTCCTTCATACTCCTCGGCATGGAAGGCCTCCCTAATCTCTCCCTCTTCGAACTCRTCGTTCTGGCTCTCAGGAATGAGAATYTCGCCCTCTTCGGAGTTAGCTGCGCTCCTCTGGCCAAAGTTCCCCTGCAGAAGCATGTTGGTGAGCAAGTACATTCCTCCCATTAGCTGCTCATGCTCCTCTACCTGGGTTGGACCTTCCTCTATCGTCCTTACCTCCTCCACTAGACCATGTGTCCCTGCCAATGCCAACCTCATCATCCARCCAACATCCCTACTCCCCCACGGATCTTCCTCCTGGAAAGGCTTGAGGACCAATTCCTCCTTCTCCTCGTACCCCCTTGGTGCTAGCCATATAGGATGCGTGACGCAGCTAGGCACCCTTAGCGACCATTCATTTATGTGGAGGCGGACATCCTCTTCCTGATCCAGGAACCCGTCAATTGGCGGGGTATCCTCAATTGACTCTTTGCCCGCCCCATCCCAGTTGATACGGCTCAGCCCATCTGCCCTGTTCTTGTCCCCGGGAATCCTCTCCAACTCAAAGCTAAACATCCAAATGTAAGTCAACCACCTCGCGATGGTTGGGTCAGATGGAGTATAACTTTTCAGGGAACACGCCAGCGCGGTAGGGTCCACCCTCAAAATGAGCCTCCTGCCAAAGATATAGTTTCGGAGGGCCCTTAGGCAGTGGAGTACCGCCAACGTCTCCTTCTTAAACTGGGAGTAGTTCCTCTCAGTCGTATTGAGGGTGCGACTTTCAAACCTTAGCGGTCTCTCCTTCCCATCCGCATCCGCCTGAATCAGGACTTCTCCTAAGGCAGGTGGCCCAGCGTCCGTCTCGACAATGAATGGCTTTTCCTCCGTGGCCTCGTAGTTTGGCGCTCCTAGCACCAAACCTCCTTCCTTGAATTCTCTCTTCATCCTTTCCACAGCCCTTTCCTGGTCTTCGCCCCAGACCCACTCCTGATCCTAACGCACCAGCTTCTCAAATGCTCCGTCTTGGTGGCGAAGTCCTTCACAAAACTCCTCCAAAACTCGCAGGTCCCAAGGAAGCTCCTCACGTCCATTATCGAYTGGAAGGGGACTGGRCACTCTAGGATCTTATCCGTTTTCTTCACGTCTGGCCTCCGCCCCTTCTCGTTAYAGACAAAGCCCAGAATCGTGGCCTCCCTCATACAATGTTTYGACTTGGGGCCKCTCRCCGTCAGGTTGTGTTCTTCCAGCAGACCCAGAACCTGATCGATATCCTGGACGTGCTTCCAGACGAACCGCCTTACTCCTGGCATCACTTCATCTTCCTCTTTCTCCTTTGGACCCTTGACCGCCAAATCGTCAATGTAGAGTTGAGTGATATGTGGACTAACCGTCTGCATGGCCCTAATCATGTGGCTTTGCACCATCGCCACCGCATTAGTCCACCCCTGAGGCGCCACGTTCATGTGGATCAACCCCCTTGGCGTATGCATCGTCGTCACCGGCCTATCCGGTGGGTACACAGGAAACTGGTCATACCCAGARTAAAGGTCTATAAGTGAGATTAAAGGCCTTCCTGCACATGATTCTGACAGGGCGTCCGCGTTCGGCAACCCTCCCGCGTCCCGCACCGTCACTGCATTCAGTCGTTGCAGATCCTACACCCACCGCAGCGTTCAGTTCGGCTTGATAAAACAGAACCAAGAGGAATCATACGGTCCACTGGAGTAATCTACCACATACGTCCTCATCTTCCCATCCAAGTAATCCACCACCTTCTTCTCCTCATCCGGATTCGGGTACCGCGCGCCCCTCAGGTTCCACGGGACGGTATGGATTCGTATCATTGGGATCTTATCCACGTCCAACCTCCCACGCTCGTCATCATTAAACGCATACGCGCAATGCCTCCTCCTCATGGTCTCCACCATCAAGGTCCTCTCCTGGGGCGACAGGAAGTCAGGCTCGCCAATTATCAACCCTTCCTCATTCTCCTTATTGATGCGGCACAGCCCTGCCTGCGCGCGTTCTCGCATACGCCTTATCAGCCCCCACTCTCGCTTATAATAGGCTTCCTCATCCTCCGTGACAACACTGACAAGCACGGGGACCGGGCGACACTTCTTGTCTATGGTTTTGTACCGCCTTTGGGAGCCCTGCTTAAGCCCTCCCCTAAAAAAGGTCGACTTGTTGTTCGGGCCTGGGCCATCGCAGGGTCCCCTCTCCTCCCGGGAAGCCGATAGACCAGCTCCACTTCTCCCACCTGAGGGYTTTYCAGGACCTGTTCCCTCAATRCCTTTATGGCTTCCGGGTCCGCCATATCGTGCRCCGCCACCACCTCCATTGCCTTATTCACATCRTTAAGGCTCAGGGACAGCACCTCGCCTGCTCCTTCCCCCTCCTGTTCCTCTCGGAGTCTCCGCCGCGCGTACYCTGATTCCTYGAAGGTAAAGGAGCTGAGGTTGAGCCYATWCCTCGCACTTYCGGGCCCTGTGTTCCGRCWCTTGATGATTTCGTAKTTTCCGCAAGCCGGATCAGATAGAGTCATGATCATCGTCCCCTCATGCCTGTTGAAGACYAAGGTCTCCGTCCRGTARAGKAACGRCCTCCCCAGAAKAATAGGGTGGTCGACGTCGGGCATGACGAAGAAGCACGTTCGCGCCCTTACTCTCMCAATCTCCACCATCAYATTAGAYACTRTGCCRCAGAAAATGGYCTTGCAGTTGGCGTYGTGCAGCACACCATGGTCCGAATGGTYAACTTCCAACCCTWACATCGTCGCRTCCCACKCCYRGATGATATTCATTTCCGAGYCTGTGTCCACCATTGCAATGCTCSGCTGGTYCCTCACCTTCAAGTCCACCAACCCACACGCCACACATTTCCAATCCATCCTAGTGCCSGCCTCTGTCCACTYTATCTYCCTGGGCAGAATTGAGCTCAGGTGGACATTGGGCACTAACCTTCGTGAGAGCCGCCCTTTCAGCTCGCCCCGGAGCCTTGGTGCTGAGGCCAAAATGTCCTTTAAGTTCWTCAGATCGTTATGGCCCTCYTGGAGCTTATCCACCATTCRCTCTACGTCAAAGCCTTYCTCCAGCCGGACTGCGTACTTCTTCCTTTTTGGCACGCCATCATACAGACTCGGCTCCACCCCTCCCTAAGCCCCCCTCTTCTTCGCCCTCTGTTCCGCCCTYCGGTCCTCCTCCTGCYGGAGTCTCTCGTCCTCTTYGTCATCACCCTCATCTTCCTCTTCTTGAACTTCTACCACTTCCTTTCTTCGTTCGRGYTCAGGGTCCTTTSGAGGGGGCGCCCRACTGGGTGYCTGGCTAGGCCCTTGACTGGTGGTGGCCTTACTTTGGCCCCTAGTCTRCGCGGCCTGAGGTACCCTTCCATGCRACRTAGGGGGTCTGAAGGTCATCCCTGACCTAGGACCTGCCCCGGCCGTCGCCACGCTTGGACATCCTTGTGGTCCTGACGACGAYTYCGGACCGGACCCATAGAGCATCACCTMAKGAAGGCTCATTTCCCMYWCCCGGGCCTTTTCACACATTGCCCTTAATCGATCCTGATAACTGCCGACCTTTGCAAGCAGGTCCTCCATCCTCTCCAGGATGGTCGAGGCTGACTCTCTCACCACTTCCTGCGCCTCATCGTCAGACTCAACAACTATAGGCTCCTCCTTTATAGTCCCCGCCTTCAACCGCTGAGTTACTTCCTCATTTTCATCCACAATCTCCTCGACTCTTACGCCGTGGTCTTGCCTTTCCTGCCATATCCTAAACATTGTTGGGGTTGCTGGAGGCCCGACCGCTGCCCGCCTGAGGGCTTCCTGCCTAATTCCTCCCGGGGTCTTGGGGTCAATGTGCGTTCCCCACCGGTCGTATATATCCCCGTCCATACAGGTGGAGATTAATCCTGCCTTTTCGTCGTCCCGCCGCTGTTGGCAGAATCGTACGGTGTGGCCCACCTCGCCACAATGCCAACAAGTTGCGTTCCGCCAGTCGAAGCGGGGTCTCCCGTACCCTTGGCCCCCTCCCTGGCTGCCTTGGCCACCTTGGTTCTGACCCCCTTGACCATATCAGCCTCCTCCACGGCCTCCGCCATTTCCTCCTCGGCCCCGGCCACCCCCTCCTCTACCTCCTTGGCCCCGGCCCCCATTACCCTGCCCGCCTTGTCCTTGGCCTCCTCCCCCGACCACACTAGCTTGCGAGGCCTGCTGGGAGGGCGGCGGTTGAGCCACGGGCTGGCTTTGAATCGCCGGGTAGCTCGGGGGGCCCATACTTGCGGATGGGCCTGAATAGGGGACCATGTGCCCCGCGTGGGCCTGACTCCCTCCACACGAGACGCAGTGGTTACAACTAGGTCAGGGCGTAGATTGGCAATGCGGCACCCAGTGTCCACAAGATGGCGGCGGCCCCGTGTGCGATGATCCGGCTGGCGCGGGTGCTTGGGCGGCCGCGGCGACAGGCGGTGGGGCGGCAAGGGCTTGAATAGCTTGCCCTTTCCCTGATTCCTGTCCGCCCAGTAGCACATTACGCTGCTTCCTCTGGGCCTTAGTCAGGGCTTGGGAGCCCGTCTCCCGTCCGCCGTAGTCTTCGCGCCCTGCCTCCTCATCTCCTACTCCTGACGTCCGRCCTTGGGCCACTGCCACCACTCTTTTCTGTAGTTCTGCYTCKCTATCATACCCCAGTGYCGCCAACACGTYSGTGACTATTCTCTTCACCCCTGGGGTCCCGGATGCAGTAGCATCCCTCTCCTTCCTCTTGCGCCTTTGCAGCCTCATTTGGTGCTGCTCCACCTGGTCCAGGCTCCCTTCTTCCACTCCCTTGTCAATGGTTGCCCAGGTGAGCCTCTCGCTGCCTTCCCCATACTTCGTCAGCTTTGTGGCTTTGTGGCCTCCGAGCCTGTAAGCAGCCCCAAAAATGTGGCGCACTGCGCCTCCTCAAAAATCCCGTGCACTTTCCTCGCGCTTTTCTTGAACTCGTGCACAAACGCCCCAATGGTAGAGAAGTCTTCCTTGTTCATGGCCTCCAAGTCGGCCATGGTCAACAGGTCGTCCCCCAGCCTATACTTCCTTCCCATTAGGTCTCCAAACTTTGCCCAACTGCCACCGGCGGCGTCCACAACCTTAGTTACTTCCCGATGGTGACTGTGCAAGACATACCTCAGGACCGGCTGGAGCTTGACCTCATCTGACAGTCCCACCAGCGCCTGCTCTGTCAGATCCAACCAATCAGATACCCGATCCCCTTTGAAGTGAAATGTCTCGACCTTCGGGACATTGCTCGGCGCCCTCTCGCGCTTGTCCAGGGCATCGATGAGGTCATCGAGAGTCACAAGCTTCCTCCCACCGTCCGCCATCTCTTCTGGCATCTTGGCCAACCTCCTTCAACTTCAATCTCCCTGTTATAAGAGACAATGGGACAGAGGACCCCACTCAGCGACTCAACCTTTCATGACCCTATCGGGTTTACCACTTTAGACACCCCACACTCTAGACCTGGCAGGCACTCCTCCTCCCTTTTTGCTCATCTAGATAACGCTTATCCTTACCATAGGACTTCCTCACCCCCATACAGCACTCAGCTGTCAGCAAGACCGTCAATCAATCAATCATCCAACCCATTGTCATATAGATCATCATACAATTCATCTCATAGTCCTTCTCTTTTCCCGCTCATATGCCTAGTTTCTTGCTTACTCTCATACCTGGATGTCGTTCCACCAGGGACAAAGGTAGGCTTCCGTTATCCCCGGCAACGGCGCCACCTGCCGAGCGCATCGGTCCGGCACCGCTCGTGGCAGTGCGGGACCCTCTCGGCCGTGTCACGCAGGAGTTGGACCAACCTCGTCACGAACGCACAAAAGGAGCTTCCTTAGGCCGCTCCGACCGAGTGCACCAGCCATACCTCTCACGAGCCCCTACGACAGGATAGGGCCTACGCGAGGCACAACTTACCTCCMCCTTACGGGAACTGTCACCTCCCTTCGGTGGGYGTATCCCCGCCGAGCTACCAGTCCACAATACGAAAGCTACTCGGTTGCAATCGCAGAGGTGGACCAGCCGAGGGCATTTCTCATTCGCTGTAGCATAGGGGGTACGCGCGTTAATACGCATATCGGACCCGCACGCGAACCGACATCTTGGGGGGCTGAAGTCCCAAGCGAGGCTCGGCGCCGGTCGACTAGGACGCATCCCACGCACCACGCGCACACCACTCTACGAACACCAAAATAAAACACACACACACATACGCACAAAACGACACCACACGAACAATGCGACACAAACAACGCGACAACGCTCCTAGCCCCTCAGTAGCCATCCCATAACTTTTCGATACGGAAATCAAATGGGCGTCGCGCGCGAGACTTGATATAAAAATCGTGCGGAGGCAGGGCTAATTTATGTCGACTCGCAATGCGAGCGTACGCAAGCGGTCGCAGTGATGGCGTACTGTGTAGTACCCATACTCGCGCGGTCCTCGTTAATCTCGAGGGTCGCATTCGACACCCAGGTGTCGGCTGACACGCGCCTTAAGGGTTAATCTCTCGACGCTAGACAACCGCCATGCGTGGTTGAGGACCACACACCCTCTTCTGCACCCTTATGCAGAGTGGGTGGTACACAGGCCCATGCCTGCGGTGGTAGTCCTCTCTCGCGGCCCTAGGGATGAGTCCTCCCCGGGGCCTGGGCGAAAGTCAAGGGGTTTGACTTTGACGGCTGCCACAGACTACAACGTCCAACCATAAAAATCTCTAAAAAGCAACAAAACTCGCACGAACCCAAGAACACGGGAGAGGGCAATGGTCTCCTGGCGTTTACAACAAAAACTCATGGCCTTGGGACACACTTCCCCTCTATGGGCGGTGTCGGCGGCCTACAATAATCCCAAGCGCTGCGCCTACGCGCAAGCCTGGCAGTCCCATAACTTTTAGACGTTGGGGCGGCGAGGCGTCGCGCGCAGGGCTCTGATATAAAACTACGCGGCCGCAGGCCAACCCTATGCCAACCACTGATGCCAATCATATGTGGTAACCGCGGCTTCGCCCTCGCGATATTGAATGGCTGAAGGAACTCATCGCGAGGGGTTACCCCTCACGATATTGAACGGCTGAAGGACACGTCGTTCTGCCCTCGCGACATTTTCGCCCTTCAGGCGGAGTGTCCCACCGGCCAAAGTAAATAGGCTCTATGCCGGGGGAGACCCCTCCCCTTCAGGGCCTAGGGCTTGAGATGTCCTGGACAAGGACCTTGAATCCCGGTCCAGGACCAACGTCCGACTAAGAAAGCCCCAAGACGCAATTAGGCAGAAGGGAGGGTCTTCCCTGTCCCTCAGCCCCAACTTCCACGCAGTTATTAACACGGCCCTTTGGGCCCCTCGAATACCCATCGTACGTATACCCACGCATACATGCAAAAGAGGATAGAGTCATGACGATCAATTCTCACAGGCACAGTGGGACTCCTCACAACCATGTATGTGTATGTGGAATCGCAGGCAGTCCAAATCCAAAATCTGAGTCACAGGACATACCTGCCACCACACCAAGAATCAAGCAACAAAACACGCACTACACGGAGTCAACCCTAACCATTCTCTATGCTCATACCCCTTCGCTTTAGCCATGCAAGCCCCAACTGCCAGTCCAATCAGCCTCAATTAAATACTCAGTACCTTTGTTAAATGGTCATTCAATAAAAGTCCGGGTGAAACCCTTAACAAACAGTAAAAACCACCAGGGCTAAAGCCTTTTAGGTTGAGTATGGGGAATGGATTGAAATTGAGTCGAAGACCGACAAATCAGCAATCGACCTGTTATCAGTGATAACAGAAGACGATCCTCCAGGGATCAAGCTGAATCCATTCTTGATCTTGAATCGAACGATCAAGACGACCTGTAACACATGACAGGCCAATCCCCAAGCTGAGATCATGAGCGTATGGAGAATACAACTCCATAACATATTCTCACTCAAATCCTCCTAGCTAGCTAAGCCTAAATCTACCTCGAGGCGGTGCCCAAAGCAAATGGAGACCCTGACTTGATCTCTCCTATTCAGACCTCCTTGTTCAAAACCAAAGAAACCGAGGAAACCCCAAATAAAACGAGGCAACCCAAGGTACATAAACTTATAGAGCGCCTTGGGTCCCTGAAAGTCACCCACAGTCAAACCCTTACAAGTCAGAGCAGTCAGGACACCTAAACTTATAGAGTGTCTTGACCCTTCATGCAATTCACAGCACCAGGTCTCCCCAAACTTATGGGGACATCCCAGCCTCCAGAGCTTCAAGCTACCTGAACTTATAGAGCGGCCTGAGGCTCCATACAACCCAAAAATAAACAAAGTGTTGGGCTTCCCCAAACTTAAGGGGACCTCCCAGCCTTAATGACCCAGTCAATCTGCACACAATACTGCCTTCCTCCCAACCTCCCCCCAGATGCAACCCACTTCGTTCAGAATCTGCTTTCAGGCAATCAACAAAATTGAAACTGAGATTGCACACACACTCCTTTACTTCAGTCTGACTTAAGTCCTGACACTGAAATCAAAATCAAAGTACAGGATCCAGATAATACACTCAGTCAAGCGTAGAGAGATGTACAGGTAGGCGTTATAGTTCGGTTTATAAACGGAATCAAGGGTTTACCACTTAGTTCTCTGCCTCCAGGACTCCGCCTGAGCCCCGGCAGAGCTCCCGCAATCGGTGGGGCAACCTCCCACAAAGGTCTTGGCGCGGATTATGGGCCACACGCCCGCCTGCCGCCTTCCTCTCAGGACCAAAGGACTAGACTTAGAGCAAGAAGGACAGGATAAAAAGGGGTGAGACTCTCAGACTCAGGAGGTGTACGCTCAAACTCACGCGAGAGGGTCTTCATGTCTTTAGCGCCTGAGGGCTCCGCAATGGTGGTCAAATGCGTAGTCGCCGCTAGTCAGCCCGAGGCCAAACGGGCGTTCACCACCCATCGTAGGCTCCCTGACGACCCCCCCCCTCGCAGCAACGATCCCTTACTTCCTTCACACGTTGCATCACGTCGCAGCCCGTCGCCTCTTCGAAATAAACAGCGCATTCGCCCATACTGAGTCCGATGGCCGTTGCCGCAGCAAATGCAACTAGAGCAGGCAGCGGGACACACAACGATGGCCAGCGCCGGCAGCAGCCTGCTGCAGCCTCCGCACACAGTCAACAAGAATGGGCCTAATGGCAGCAAGCATTTGGCATATGGTAGCTGCAACTGTAACGTGCCCAGAACCAACCCTCTGAAGTAACAGGCCTTAATGGCCAGCTTTGTCAGCCGGGTCCGCAATTCGTGGCAGTACTCTTCATCACCGCTCCACCAAGCGGCAGCGACAGCCTTCCCCCGCAGGCCGAATACTTGTCTCACGCTACAGCCCGACGCTTGCTTATAAGGAACACAGTATCCCGCACACAACCCAGTACGCACTACCTTCCGTATACTGTAGCAAGTCGTCGTGGCACACAACAACACCTGCGGTACCGTCAGCAATAGCAGCAGCTACCCCACCCGTGTAGGGTCGGAGGCAGGAGCACAGCAAGCGTACAATAAGTACCATGCCAGTACCAAGCGGATATAATGGTTCCCTGTCCTGTGCACGGCAAGTGTATAACCAACGTAAGCATGCAAGGGCCGTAATGCACAGCTGCTCGTAACAGAGGGTGCAGATCAACAGGAATGCGACTTAACGGAGCCAGTAGTCTAGCAGGAACAATGATCAAAACGCAGTTTTAGTATCAGTAGCAATTTCAAAATCGGGCACAACTACCGTCGCAGCATAGCGGAAATAACCGTATCCCCGGCCTCATCGTCGTCTCAGACACACTCCCCATCCCCCCCCTTTCCTCTTGACTTTCCACATCTGTATCTGGCTGGGATCCCAGCTTCCTAGATACAAGGGAGTCAAGACAGCACCTCGGGACCGATCAGCGTCCTTGCGGGAGGCGAGCAACAGTTACACGATCCTCAAACGCCAAGAGCGAGGTCACCCCGACAGTCTTCCGGGGGTACGGGAACTGAGATAAACCCTCCGCTGTTATACGGCCTGGCACATTGCCCCGGGAGAACGAGCAACAAATGGCACTCCGCACCGGCCACAACTGAGCCCTTAGCAACACCGAATAAGTCATCGACTAAAATTTGGTAATATATACACCGCTACAACTCATCGTGCGCCCCGGGGGGCGGCGAAGGTACTTCGATCGGCGGGACGAGCATCACACCAGCCATATCGGTAAGTATGTAGCCCCGTGGCCATTTACATGCTTTGCTCATCGCCACGCTGAATAAAACCCGAATGAATCCTGCTCTAGAACCTGGGTAGGTACATTGCCCCGTTCCTCTTGCCTTCCCGATACTTCTTCGCACACCATTTTCTCACTAGCTTCTAATCTACTGTCTTTCCTACTAATCCGGTTTCGAATTCGTGATCGGCCTGCTTCAAAACTTCTATCTCAGCCCCTCCCTCACTCGATTCCGTCAAGGAGCGAGCAGGGTGCTTACTCTCCCTTCCGCCATGTTCGCCTGTTCCAATACCACCATGCAGGGCCTTTCTCCTCCACTACCAAAACTAACACTCTATAGTTAAAACTGACTCTCCCGCTCAGCTCGCAGCACCCCGAAACTCTAGCTCAACCCTTCACTCTGCCCGATTCCGCCTAGGATCGAGCAATCTAGTGGTTTTCCTGCTCCCACCATAACCACCTCCTCCCGCCATGCACGGTCACACTTCCTTCGCATGCACCCGGCGCGTTTCCGCGCCTTGATTCGTTCCTGCCCCCGTCGCCTGTTTCCCCCAGTGTCTACCCTGCCGACCTCCACAGTCTCGCTCCGCGGTTGCCCCCCGTGCTGACTCTCACCCCGCTAGCGTCCGTCACCCCGCCAAGGCACACAACTAACCCGACAGCGCCCCCGCCCGGCTCACCGACCGACTAACCGAACGGGTCGACACTGCCCCGCATTTGTAGTGTCGGACCATAGGCGGTCCCCCTCTCCCACCGCTTTGGACACCGCTGACTGTGCGCGGTAGACGAGTCTCCTAGCCACTTGCCTCTCCCTTCCGCCTGCACCTGGCATTCATTCGCGTCCGGGTTCGCCCCCGGATGCCTATATTGCCTCCTCGCAGTGGCTGCGCGGCCCTCCTCTAGTCAGTTCCAGTATTAGCGGATGCCCCGAAGGACTCCCCCGCAGCAACACCCAACGGCCCTTCGATGCCTGAGCAACCTCGATACCACCCCGCCTTGGCAGCAAAGTGCGCGGACCTGGCCCGCCTTCCTGGCCGGGTTCAGGGAGGTGCGCCCTCCCTTTCCTCGTTCTATGCGTGTCATCCTTGCGCAGGGGCCGCGCTAATCTTCTCTGTATCGTTCCAATTTTAACGGATGTCCCGAAGGACCTACCCATAGTGGCCCCCATAGTACCACCAACACCACCCAACCTCCTCGCCCTTTTGCACGCCCCCGGCCAGATTCACGGTCGGGTTCTCCTCCGGTTTTTCCATGTGCCATCCGTGCGGGGCGGTCATGCAAATCTTCTCCGTATCGTGCCAAAAAAATCTGCGGATATCCTGAAAGGCTTCCGATCGTGGTCGCCCCTCCCTTGACTACTCGAGACCAATGCGGCCKCAATGCYGCTCTACCTTAATGCSCGAACTTGGCCCGCATKTCAGAAGTTGTKCRCGCCAGCCTTGCACAGGGGCCATACGAATCTTCCCTGCATCGCTCTAATTTTAACGGATAACCCAAAGAGCCTTGCGCGTGGCRAGCCCCCYTTTTTTATCCGCACCCGGCCTACCTTCTCGTCCGGATCCATCCCCAGACTCACACATGCCTGCCTGGCGCAGCACCCTCACCCTCCTTTCGCACTCCGAGYAAGCCCCAGCGCCGGCTTTCTTTAACAGTGCCCCRCGCGGACCCAGCCCCCTTTTGAGGCCAGGTTCGGGCGGTTGACATATGATCCGACTGCAACAAGTTGGCAAGCCGAACCTCCCCTCCCGTAGGGGCCTTGCGAATCCCCCTCGGGCCGCGGATCCCCCTCCTCCCAACAGTAGGCACCTCGCAGCGCCCCCAGCGCTTGATCGGGCCCCGGCGGAACCAGCTGGGCTCGATCTCAGGCCTGTATTTCAACAGTTCATGGGCGTACCTGCCGCAGTTCCGCGCTCACATACGGGCGAAGAAAAACAAATAATAATATCACAAATTCGAGGTAAGTACATTATACATGACTAGATATATAAAACCCCGCAAGGCGCGCGGTCAATCGGGCAGAGACCGCGGCCCCCAAAATTGTAAAAGGCGAAGGGGGATGGTCCCACAGGCCCTTCAACCCCTCACGCCTTTCCGCCGCGCTCCCCCGCTCCCTTACCGCCTGCTGTTGGCCTCGATCCCTGTGTCTCTTACGTACCAGTCCGATGCCATAACCAATAGGGCTAAGCCCAAGCCTGGTACCCGCAGGCGCGACCTCCCATATAAGGTGGTGTCGCGAGGCGCTCCGGGCCAAGATACCACCTTGGCCGCTTCTTCAATCCCATTCGTTCCCACGGCCCCCTAAGTGTCCGCGTCGGTCTACCACCCCGCGCCGTGGCCGTCCCATGCACCTATCTGCGTGCCAACCCTACCCTCTGTCACGCACACCTATTAGGAGCAACCTTTCATTCCCTAACTAAGGCCGTAACACGGTCCAGGTCGGTCGGCTACCCCGGCCGCCCATTTAATTAGAAAAATCACATGCGCACCTTAAATATTGCGCGCCCACCTACCTTCTACCAGGACAAGGCAGACCTTGGCCCGCGCGCGGACGACCTTCACATTTTCCCGCACGGGCACTCAAAATCCAGGCTAACCGAGCCTTTCTGTCACTTGCAAAAACCAGGGCGGATACCCTTGTAAGGGTATTCGCGCCGACAGCTTACCGGACCATATTAAGCGACGTCCCCGTCGCGTCGCCAAATCAAAAAGCTATAGATTTCCATCACATTCCAAATGCCGACGAGATTAGAACCAATGCGATTAGCCGACAGACTTYAGGGTTGAGGMCTCCATCAAACCGTGCCAAGAAAACGATATGCTGCCAGGGTTTCAACTTGGGTCTCCATTGTCCCGACACCAGGACGCCGGTGTATTACGCATCAATACTACAGCATAAGTTCCAAAGCCCCCCAAACCATCCTCTTCCCCCTCGTCCTAGACAACCGCCAACCTCTCGTTGGGTGTCCTAGTTAGCCTCTTCCTCATAAGCAGAGCCATAACTAGGGACGCGGGCTTCGAATGGGGCCTATGAAGGCATTCTCTGCCTCTTCAACAAATTCCTCACAGTCAAACAAAGTACACACGTATAAGCTTGTAGCCTCTCTCGGGCTTTTCTGCAGTCTAGTACAAAAATGCCAGGTCCCCATCTGGGYCCACCATAGCCTGGCTGATCGGGCCAGGTCTACTGCCCACCGGGTTGTTACCTTAGCGGMAGTATCCTCCCATTGGTTATACAATTGCAGGTATGTCCGTGATAATCAATCAATCAGGGCTTCCAAAARACACGACTCTTATCCCGCAAGGTAATTTCCCTAGGGCGGGCAACTCCCCTCAAACTCTTGCCTTGCGGGCCCGCAGCCAGGTTGTGCCGGCTAGCAGCCATCCACTAGGGGTTGCGCCCAGGTGGCACTAATCTTTACCGTTAGCTTGGTATTCCCTCAAATATGTCTCWKAATTAGCACAGGTGGCCCGGCGGGGTATCACAAACAATTCACGRCCGCTTCGGGACTACGCAGGGGTCTGAACGCATTTACCGGCTCTCCTATAATAGGCACGGCATCCTTCGCTCAATCACAAACAGTCTCCCCGCCGGATCCACAAGGTCRCGGCTCTTGACTTGATCAGAGTCAGCAGTCGCCCACCCTGAGGCATCTCTYGCCCTTTTCAAACATTTCAAGCAAACATGGTCCCCTCTCGTCAGACTTTATCAGCACAGACAATACTTTCCACACCATTCAATTTTKACCCACCCTTACTTGGTGAAGGGTGCCTTTCCCAAAAGATTTCCTAGCCATCTCCTTCTTGTATGGGATGACTCCTCACACGACCTCTTCCAAARCCATGAAGGGGTCTCCACGCAATGTAATTCCCACCTTCCAGAACCATGAAGGGGGTCTTAATCATCAAACACCTCAAACTGAGGGGCCACCTTCTGGGTCCCTATACGATTTAGGCAGCGATGTTTAGTATGACCAAACATGCAAATTCCTAAATTCATCAATCCCGTAGGATTCTCACAGTTTTCACAAACAGGCTGCACTTCCCCTCCTTATACTCTTCCCTCTCGTCCGCTTGCAGCAGACCGCACGAGTATACCGGAGGGTAGACAACTTTACAATTTACACAATCATGCCCATGAGATGTATCCCRTACATTTCTCACACAAAACCAAACATTCATCGAGATAAATCCACACATGTGAGAGCGATAGTGATCGTCACAAGACAAGTCCCATAGGATCTCAACTCATAGTATACTCAGGGAGTATAATGCCTCCCCCAACAATCGAATACAAGCACTCAACTCAATACCCCGCCTGTCTGAATAGGACTCATAACCCCACTGTACACTCATCAAATCCATTCGAGAACATAGCATCCGCCTAATCATCCACAGAATACCTAGCCCCTGTCCTCCCCTGCTGGGAAAACTCACACCCCGAGTGCTATAATCCCATTCAGAGCAGCAATAGCTTCTGAATCACAAAACCAAATATAACTAAATGGTCTCATATATCATACTGCTGAGTTCTACCCCTGGGTCGTAGCCCACGAAGAAGCTCAAAAGGAACAAGCGAACAAAAGTCACACGCATAGGCACGATTGGATAGGAACTCCTCCTCCCACTCCTACGCACACACACATCTAGGGCCCGCTCAACTGACTCAAGGTATGTACACCCCTAACCCCGCCCTGTGTGTGTCAAGGATCTCTAGTCCTATCAATATATAAACAGACCGATCCCTACTTACATAATTCCTCCTGGTTCTGCCTATATAATTGAGCCCTGCCCCCATCTGGAGCTCGCTCTACTATCCTGCCCTGCCTGTCATAGAACTTGTCGTTGAACTCCGCAACTCGCCCCTCGGCCTTATCTTCGAGGAGTTCTGGGCAGTCCACGGCTCTATGCCCTTCCTCCTTGCACCAGAAACAGGAGGCATCGTGCCATCTGACAGTCTTCTTCTTTCTCCCCTGCGAACTCGATGCCGAAGGCGTCCCCATGGTCTCAGTAGTCACCTCATGACACGAGGGCAACCCCACATGGCCCTGAGGTCCATGCTCCATAGCCTCAGCACCCCCACCCTCTCGTATGGTCGTGCTCACTGGCCTGCAGCCCGGCGTGCCCAACTCTCGGGGTCCCTCCTCATGAGCCCTCTCTGTCACCACCRCCTCATCCCTGCATACCCCTGACGGYTGAGGGCCCCCCATAGCGGTGGGCTCACTCATGACCTCCTGCTRCTRTTGTCRCCKCGAGTCAGGCTCCCCGGAGTCCGTYTCCGTGGCCCAGGAACSCAGCTCCGTCCTCAACTTTCCCAATCTCGGAGCATCCTCTTGAGTGTCGAGCCTCTGAGGCCTCTCCTGTGGAGTRCCTATCCCCATGGCTGYCGCCAGCTCATGCAAGCGCGAACCTCWCCTCTCCGTGGACATAGCCATAAGCGACTCCTGCGCACCACCTTCCWCCTCAACTGCGTCCAAGGGCACCTCCTCCATCGGCTCACTCTGTCGGGGGACCTCCACTGCTGCTCCTTGGCTCGGCGAGGCGCGCATCCCCCGGCCCTGGCCATCGGCACCGGCTCGCCCCACCTGGCTAGCCTCCCAGGCTGCCGAGAGCCTATCCACAGCGGCCGCCATCTCCCCAAATCTCCTCTCCCACTCAACCTCTCTAGCCTGGCTTCTCACCCTCTCCTCGGCAAGCTGAGTAGTCAGGTGCTCCACCTCCAACTCTTTGACCCTAAGCTCATTGCTGAGTAGATTATACCACTGGAAAGATGTGACTGTCGTCTCACATACCCTCCGATCCATGCACTCATTCGCCTGCCTGGTCGCAGAGAACCTCAAGTCCCCCATCTCTCTTAACTCACTCGTCTCCTCGTCCGCCCGTCCTGCCTCTCATGACCTTTGGCGGGCTGCATCCCTCTGGCTCTCATACCTAGCCCACAACTCGTCGATCCTCTGCTCACTCGTCTTGAGCTCAACCGGCGGTGTCGGCTTTATCCCTGCCTCCTCCATCTCAACCTGTCTTGCGTATATCTCGTCCAGACCGACCCGCACTCGGGCGGACTTCTCTTCGCGGGTCTCTCTTGGAGTTCCTTCCACTCGCGGCCCCTGGCCTCCTGGAGTCAACGCTTCCGCCTCCATCCCTTCGCTCGCGCGCGGCACTACTGGCGGTAACTCTGCTGGAACGGGCTCCTCGATATCCGGGCTCTTGGTCACCTGCGTGGCCAAGGGCAAGTCAATGGGCGCCTCCATCCTCGCTCTCTCACACATACCCTGGTCCTCCGCCTCTGCCTCCTGCTCAGGTATAGTGGTGGCCTCAGGGGGAAACTCCGGGATCTCCTCACTGCCTGGCTCGGGAATCCCCTCTGGCCATGAACGTTGTGCTGGCTCTGGAGCTGGGAATCATGGAGGGGTATCGTCCCCAACCGTGATCACCTCTCTACCCTGAGGTCGCACGGGATCCGGCCGCTCAGCTGCCATCTCAGGATCCTGCGGCTCCTCTCAGTTTCGCATGTTTGTCTCCATCTCGGGGTCGAGGGGCTCCTCCAATGGCACGTAGCATGCAGACTCAACTGAACCCTCTCCCAGCCGTGAGGCCTCCCATTGGGATACATCGAGATGAGTCACTACGCTTCGGAATGGCGGCTCTCTTGGTATGTCCAGCTCCTGCGTTGATGGCAGTGGCGAGGGCGGCCTCAACTCCTCGCTCGTAATTCGCCGAAACTCAACCGCTCAGAGGCCACAAGCAGGGAACGCCTCCTCTGCCAATGTGGGCCCTGCGGGCTCATCCTCCCGCTGGGTTGGGGCTCCCCTCCTCTCTCTGGCCAGCCCCGCCACTCTCGGTGTCGGTTCCCTTGGCCTCTTGCTTCGCCGCCGCCTCTCAACTCTGGGCTCGTGCCTCTCGTGTTGTGGTCGTCCGAACGCCCTCCTGAGCTGGGCCTGACAGTCCTCCCAGTCTCGGGCCCTTTCCCGAATCTGCGTGGCCACCTCCCTCTTTGCCTGCCTCGTCCAGATAAGTATAGCCTGCACCCATTCCTCCCTCGCAACCCCCAGACTCAACATGTAGTGCTCATATGCGGGGATGAACTCATCTGCATTCCCCTCCTCCAATCGAATGGGCATGCGATCACGCCCCCTAGGGAAAGCTCTCAACTTCTGCATCCCGGCTTCCACGTCCGGCCAAGTCAGGGCCTCCTCACATATCTGAGCGACAGGCTCCTCGAACCGCCCTATACCCCTCAAGTGGTGAATCCTCTCCGCCACTGACCACCCTCTTTGTGCCGCATGATCCCGATATACGTCCAAGAAAAGCTCAATGTTGTCATCATCAAACTYAGGCGTAGGCTCCCTCCTAGGCGGCTCATGCTGCTCGCCTCTTCCYYCCATCCTCTRGGGCCCCTGGCGTGGCCGTGTGTCCCTTCCGCCCCTCTGCATGACTGTCTTCGAAAAGTCAGACCTGCACAACAGGCGAGAGACAACAAGCAGGCACACAGCAGGGTCAGCAACCGAGCCATCGGCCTAGGGAAATCCCACATACACTCCACACCCATCCATCCCAATCATCCACCTATCTAACCATCCGACCTGGGTAATACCTAGGCAAGACTCTATCCCTAACGAGGTCTCATGGCCCTTACCTATTCCCTCGCCACAAACTTCTTCAGCCTTGTCCCTGATACCCAGTCCTGCCATCCTRCCCCATCCAGCTCCTCAATTTGGTWGGCCCCAAATTCACCACACCGCACGATCCTATAGGGTCCCAGCCACCGTTTGTCGAGTTTCCTGGACCACTGCTTTTCCAGCGAGGAGTCATACAACAGCACCACATCCCCAACCTTCAGTGGATCCTTCCTTATTCGGGYCATCCGGTCCCACCTCATCTTGTCTTCCATGCGACTTCTCTCCACCTGACSWGCRGCCTCTCGTAACCTTTCCTCAGCGACACCCACCTGTCGCGCCCGTATATCGAGCAACTCTTCAAAGGACAGGTTCACTTCCAGGTCCTGGCGCCTCCACGTTTTCATAAAATTTTCTATGGGAAAGGTGGCATGTCTTCCATACCATAGTGTGGCTGGCACTTACTTGGTACTCCTTTTCACTGTAACATTTTCCACGAAGAATGCTGCTCTCAGGAATTCCGGCCACTGGTTAGGCTTTCCCTCAGTCCATTTGGCCAGGAGATTCGTGATGGTACTATGCCCCCTTTCCACAGGCGCGTTTGCCAGGGGGTGCGCGGCAGTAGTAGAGTTTGCCACCACGTCGTATCCTGCAAGCAAGGTCCGCACCTCGTTACACGTAAACTCCGACCCCCGGTCCATCACAAACTCTCTTACAAATGGATAGCGCAAGTAGTACTCTTCGATGCACCTTGCTAAAACTGGGCCGGTTTTCGTACGAATAGCCCGAYCGTCCACGAACCCGGTAAGGTTGTCYCATGCRTCAAAGATATAGTTRCTTCCGTCCTCCCCAAGTGGCATGAACAATAGGTCCARGTGTACGACTGCACCCACTTCCCTTTCCAGTCTGGGGTGYAGWGGTTCCCCCGGCCTTTGCGCTGACCTCTGTTGGCAGGGTACACAAGACTGRCAGTACTTGATGACCATAGTCAGCATTCCATCCCAATGGTATAGCTCACTTATCTTTGCGCACGTGGCACTAACCCCTATGTGCCCCCCTGCTATACCATCGTGTAAGGCTGCTATGACATYGATCTKCCGGTTCCTCCCACATACGATCCTCTTGGGGTTCCCAACCTGTCGCTTTATAAACAAATGGTCATCTCTCACTACGTAGAGATGCCTCATCTTCTGGGCCTTAGCACTTGCGTCCCTATCCCTCATTTCGCACAACAGCAGTAACCCCAACTCCTGATAAATTCCTTCATACTCCTCGGCATGGAAGGCCTCCCTAATCTCTCCCTCTTCGAACTCRTCGTTCTGGCTCTCAGGAATGAGAATYTCGCCCTCTTCGGAGTTAGCTGCGCTCCTCTGGCCAAAGTTCCCCTGCAGAAGCATGTTGGTGAGCAAGTACATTCCTCCCATTAGCTGCTCATGCTCCTCTACCTGGGTTGGACCTTCCTCTATCGTCCTTACCTCCTCCACTAGACCATGTGTCCCTGCCAATGCCAACCTCATCATCCARCCAACATCCCTACTCCCCCACGGATCTTCCTCCTGGAAAGGCTTGAGGACCAATTCCTCCTTCTCCTCGTACCCCCTTGGTGCTAGCCATATAGGATGCGTGACGCAGCTAGGCACCCTTAGCGACCATTCATTTATGTGGAGGCGGACATCCTCTTCCTGATCCAGGAACCCGTCAATTGGCGGGGTATCCTCAATTGACTCTTTGCCCGCCCCATCCCAGTTGATACGGCTCAGCCCATCTGCCCTGTTCTTGTCCCCGGGAATCCTCTCCAACTCAAAGCTAAACATCCAAATGTAAGTCAACCACCTCGCGATGGTTGGGTCAGATGGAGTATAACTTTTCAGGGAACACGCCAGCGCGGTAGGGTCCACCCTCAAAATGAGCCTCCTGCCAAAGATATAGTTTCGGAGGGCCCTTASGCAGTGGAGTACCGCCAACGTCTCCTTCTTAAACTGGGAGTAGTTCCTCTCAGTCRTATTGAGGGTGCGACTTTCAAACCTTAGCGGTCTCTCCTTCCCATCCGCATCCGCCTGAATCAGGACTCCTCCTAAGGCAGTTGGCCCAGCGTCCGTCTCGACAATGAATGGTTTTTCCTCCGTGGCCTCGTAGTTTGGCGCTCCTAGCACCAAACCTCCTTCCTTCAATTCTCTCTTCATCCTTTCCATAGCCCTTTCCTGGTCTTCGCCCCAGACCCACTCCTGATCCTAACGCACCAGCTTCTCAAATGCTCCGTCTTGGTGGCGAAGTCCTTCACAAAACTCCTCCAAAACTCGCAGGTCCCAAGGAAGCTCCTCACGTCCATTATCGATTGGAAGGGGACTGGACACTCTAGGATCTTATCCGTTTTCTTCACGTCTGGCCTCCGCCCCTTCTCGTTATAGACAAAGCCCAGAATCGTGGCCTCCCTCATACAATGTTTTGACTTGGGGCCTCTCGCCGTCAGGTTGTGTTCTTCCAGCAGACCCAGAACCTGATCGATATCCTGGACGTGCTTCCAGACGAACCGCCTTACTCCTGGCATCACTTCATCTTCCTCCTTCTCCTTTGAACCCTTGGCCGCCAAATCGTCAATGTAGGATTGAGTGATATGTGGACTAACCGTCTGCATGGCCCTAATCATGTGCCTTTGCACCATCGCCACCGCATTAGTCCACCCCTGAGGCGCCACGTTCATGTGGATCAACCCCCTTGGCGTATGCATCGTCGTCACTGGCCTATCCGGTGGGTACACAGGAAACTGGTCATACCCAGAATAAAGGTCTATAAGTGAGATTAAAGGCCTTCCTGCACATGATTCTGACAGGGCGTCCGCGTTCGGCAACCCTCCCGCGTCCCGCACCGTCACTGCATTCAGTCGTTGCAGATCCTGCACCCACCGCAGCGTTCAGTTTGGCTTGATAAAACAGAACCAAGGGGAAGCATACGGTCCACTGGAGTAATCTACCACATACGTCCTCATCTTCCCATCCAAGTAATCCACCACCTTCTTCTCCTCATCCGGATTCGGGTACCGCGCGCCCCTCAGGTTCCACGGGACGGTATGAATTCGTATCATCGGGATCTTATCCACGTCCAACCTCCCACGCTCGTCATCATTAAACGCATACGCGCAATGCCTCCTCCTCATGGTCTCCACCATCAAGGTCCTCTCCTGGGGCGACAGGAAGCCAGGCTCGCCAATTATCAACCCTTCCTCATTCTCCTTATTGATGCGGCACGGCCCTGCCTGCGCGCGTTCCCGCATACGCCTTATCAGCCCCCGCTCTCGCTTATAATAGGTTTCCTCATCCTCCGTGACAACACTGATAAGCACGGGGACCGGGCGACACTTCTTGTCTATGGTTTTGTACCGCCTTTGGGAGCCCTGCTTAAGCTCTCCCCTAAAAAAGGTCGACTTGTTGTTCGGGCCTGGGCCATCGCAGGGTCCCCTCTCCTCCCGGGAAGCCGATAGACCAGCTCCACTTCTCCCACCTGAGGGYTTTYCAGGACCTGTTCCCTCAATRCCTTTATGGCTTCCGGGTCCGCCATATCGTGCRCCGCCACCACCTCCATTGCCTTATTCACATCRTTAAGGCTCAGGGACAGCACCTCGCCTGCTCCTTCCCCCTCCTGTTCCTCTCGGAGTCTCCGCCGCGCGTACYCTGATTCCTYGAAGGTAAAGGAGCTGAGGTTGAGCCYATWCCTCGCACTTYCGGGCCCTGTGTTCCGRCWCTTGATGATTTCGTAKTTTCCGCAAGCCGGATCAGATAGAGTCATGATCATCGTCCCCTCATGCCTGTTGAAGACYAAGGTCTCCGTCCRGTARAGKAACGRCCTCCCCAGAAKAATAGGGTGGTCGACGTCGGGCATGACGAAGAAGCACGTTCGCGCCCTTACTCTCMCAATCTCCACCATCAYATTAGAYACTRTGCCRCAGAAAATGGYCTTGCAGTTGGCGTYGTGCAGCACACCATGGTCCGAATGGTYAACTTCCAACCCTWACATCGTCGCRTCCCACKCCYRGATGATATTCATTTCCGAGYCTGTGTCCACCATTGCAATGCTCSGCTGGTYCCTCACCTTCAAGTCCACCAACCCACACGCCACACATTTCCAATCCATCCTAGTGCCSGCCTCTGTCCACTYTATCTYCCTGGGCAGAATTGAGCTCAGGTGGACATTGGGCACTAACCTTCGTGAGAGCCGCCCTTTCAGCTCGCCCCGGAGCCTTGGTGCTGAGGCCAAAATGTCCTTTAAGTTCWTCAGATCGTTATGGCCCTCYTGGAGCTTATCCACCATTCRCTCTACGTCAAAGCCTTYCTCCAGCCGGACTGCGTACTTCTTCCTTTTTGGCACGCCATCATACAGACTCGGCTCCACCCCTCCCTAAGCCCCCCTCTTCTTCGCCCTCTGTTCCGCCCTYCGGTCCTCCTCCTGCYGGAGTCTCTCGTCCTCTTYGTCATCACCCTCATCTTCCTCTTCTTGAACTTCTACCACTTCCTTTCTTCGTTCGRGYTCAGGGTCCTTTSGAGGGGGCGCCCRACTGGGTGYCTGGCTAGGCCCTTGACTGGTGGTGGCCTTACTTTGGCCCCTAGTCTRCGCGGCCTGAGGTACCCTTCCATGCRACRTAGGGGGTCTGAAGGTCATCCCTGACCTAGGACCTGCCCCGGCCGTCGCCACGCTTGGACATCCTTGTGGTCCTGACGACGAYTYCGGACCGGACCCATAGAGCATCACCTMAKGAAGGCTCATTTCCCMYWCCCGGGCCTTTTCACACATTGCCCTTAATCGATCCTGATAACTGCCGACCTTTGCAAGCAGGTCCTCCATCCTCTCCAGGATGGTCGAGGCTGACTCTCTCACCACTTCCTGCGCCTCATCGTCAGACTCAACAACTATAGGCTCCTCCTTTATAGTCCCCGCCTTCAACCGCTGAGTTACTTCCTCATTTTC